CGAGGCCGCCTCACCGGGTCTGCCCGCCGCCACCCTCTGCCCGCAGTGGACCTCCTGCAGATGCTGGAGATGAACATGGCCATCGCCTTCCCTGCAGCGCCCCTGCTGACCGTCATCCTGGCCCTTGTGGGTGAGGACCCCTCTGCCCGCCCCCCACAACCCCTCTCCGAGGCCCCAGCCTCCTTGCTGGGTGCACCTAACCGTGGCTTCCCGCAGGGATGGAGGCCATCATGTCGGAGTTCTTCAATGACACCACCACCGCCTTCTACATCATCCTCATCGTGTGGCTGGCTGACCAGTACGACGCCATCTGCTGCCACACCAACACCAGCAAGAGGCACTGGCTGCGGTGAGTGCTGCCGGGTGGCGGGGGTGCGGGGGGCTGGGTAGGCTCCGGCAGGGGTGCTCACCGTGGCCCTCACAGGTTCTTCTACCTGTACCACTTCGCCTTCTACGCATACCACTACCGCTTCAACGGGCAGTACAGCAGCCTGGCCCTGGTCACCTCCTGGCTCTTCATCCAGGTGAGGCCCCTGGCTCCCAGGGCCACCCGTGGCAGGTGGGCCCTGGGCAGCGCCTGACCTGTGCCCCCCGCCCCCAGCATTCCATGATCTACTTCTTCCACCACTACGAGCTGCCTGCCATCCTGCAGCAGATCCGGATCCAGGAGATGCTGCTGCAGGCGCCACCGCTGGGCCCCGGCACCCCCACGGCGCTGCCAGACGACCTCAACAACAATGGGGGCACCCCGGCCGCCGCCACCGCCCCCGCCGGCCAGGCCCCCGCCCTGGGCCCTGCCTCGCCGGGGGCTGGTGGGGTTTCGGGACCTGTGGGCGAGGCGCCCAGCTCTCTGGTGGCTGCGGCAGCCTCGGTGGCTGCGGCAGCCAGTGGCGACCTGGGTTGGATGGCAGAGACGGCTGCCATCATCACAGATGCCTCCTTCCTGTCCGGCCTGAGCGCCTCCCTCCTGGAGAGGCGGGCAGCCGGCTCCCTAAGCCCAGGTGGGGGGCTCCCTCGAGGCCCCCAGCTCCCCCAGGACAGTGTCCCCCCAAGCGACTCCTCAGCACCTAACACAGCTCCTCTGGCTGCTGGGGTGCGTGGGCCCAGCCCCGAGTCCACGACCCCAGCAGACACGCTCTCTGAGGTTGGCTCCTGAGCCCTTGGCAGCTGAGCGCCTCTGTCCCTGGCTATCCAGGCTGGCCGGATGTGACCTGGCTGGGGCCCTCGGGGTCAGGGAGGCTGTCACCGGTGTCTGGGGACTGCCCAGCCTGCTTTGTGTCAGCTTCCATCTGGTTTGCCCAGGGATGGGCTCCTCTCTCCTGGGTTTGGGGCCTGCCCTTGGCCTGTCCCTGTTAAGTTTATGGTGGGCTCCTTCAGCCAGCAAATCAAGGCAGGCAGATAAACCAGGGCAGGAGATGGGGGTGGGGACTCCACGGAAGGTTCTGGAAGGGGTTGGTGACAGTCTGCAGTGAGCCAGCTGTACTTGGGGGCAGAGTCTGGCAGGACTCTGAGCCAGGTGAACATGGGCGGGGGTTGTGGTCGCTGTCCCAGCCCCTAGGCTGGTGCTCGTAGTGCACAGTGCCTTTTTCATGGCCCCTGCCCCCACACGTGTGCGCGTGTGTGCACACACCAGGGCTGGGGTCCGGTGAGGGCAGGGCTGGTGCCTGTGGCACAGGGGATGGCTGAGCGCGCCAACATTGAAAGCAGTAGCCAGGCGCCGGGGTCCAACCCTGTTGGGGTGGGAAAGGGCCTCAGGCCAATCCAAGTGACTCAGTGAGGACTGCGGAGTGCTCATTCCGTCTGTTTAATTGCCGTGTACGAAATGGTGTTTGTACATAGAATAAACTGTCTGTTGACAGCATCAGGCCAGCGTCTCCATGTGCGCGGGGCTGGGGTTGGCTTCTGCGCATGCTCCGGCGTGGGCTCCACCCCTTCAGGGCCAAGTGGGCGGGGCGGGGCCACCGCCCTCGCTGTTGGTGGAGGCGTCACGGGGCGGCCGCTTCCGCGCAGGTCTGGAGCAGGCGCAGCGGGCGATCGCGGGTTCCGCCCCGGAGCTGGGTCAGGAGCTCGCCGCGCCGCCGCAGCGCTCGACGGAGCCGCGCCCTTGCGCCAGCGATGTGCCGCTCCAGCTCCTCCAGCTCACCCGCGAGCCCGTGGGTAGCGGGCGGCTGGCCGTTGGAGCAGAGCCAGGCGGGGTCTTCGGTCGGCCCAGCCTCCTCCGCGTCCGTGTCCCCGGTGGGTGCAGCAGCGGCCACGGCTGGCTCCAGCAGAAAGCGCACGCGACGCTCCCTCACCACGGCCCGTCGCACCCGTGTCCAGCCTCCGGGGCCCGCGGGGGCGACTGGCGTGTCCCCTTGTTCCTCCGGACCCCTGAAGACGGAGGATGAATGGGACTGGAGCAGTGTTCCCCGAGAAAAGAGCAGCCACGCCTCACCCACGGCCCTGCTCTGCCCTCGGGTCAGGGTCCCTGAGGAGGCCCTGGTGGTGGGAGGTGTGGACCAAGCAGTCCAGCCCTCCGGGAAAGGACATGGAGGCGGAGGTCTAAGTGGCTGACCCGAGGGCGGTTGTGGGAGCTGGCGGGGTGAGAGCGACTCCGGGGCCCCGCACCTCGGTTGGGGCTCCTGCGCATCCGGCCGCTCCATGTTGAGGGCACGGTGGATTCTCTGTGAACCAAACGGAGGCTGGGCAGGGTCGGGTCGGGTGAGCAGGCTGCCTGTGCCCGCCAGCCACCAGCCGCCCCTCACCTGGCTCGTGTGCAGCCAGTACTGCAGCCTGTTGGCCCTTCGGATGCAAGGCAGTGCCAAGTGGTAGCAGACGTGCTCACCCAGCGAGCTGAGCAGGGCGCTGCCCAGCCCCAGGCAGAGCAACACAAAGAGCCCCGAGAAGTGGTAGATGCCCATCTGGAGGGTCTGTGGCAGGTGGAACACAGGCGTGAGCACCTCACGGTCAGGGCAGACCCTCGTGGAGCCCTGGCCTGGCAGGGCACAGAGGTTGGCCAAAGATGGTTTGGGGGGCTGTGTCTGCCTGGGTAGGTCGGACTCCTTGTTCTGGAGCAAGGTGTCATGGAGAAAGGGGCCCTGGAGCTGGGGTTTTGAAGGATGAACACAAGTGCACAAAAAACAAATACACCTTGGGAGTGAGGAGGAGTCTGGCCACCTCAGTCGAGGCCCACGCAGGCTCAGGGCCCCCACACCTACCCCACCCTGTGTCCCGGGCCCTGCCCCACCTCTGTGACAGCGAACACGCGCTTCCCACAAGGCACCATCTTGTACCACTTGTCATGCAGCAGGTCCATGAAGCCAGAGGACTTGTAGTGGCTGATGAACTCCGACAGGATGGAGGTGAGCGGCGAGTTCTGGGGGAGTCCGATGCCGTAGCCTGGGGGGGACAAGTTGGGGCCAGCTGGACACAGCCCCTGGCGAACCATACCCTCGCCTCGCTCCCCAGCCCTCAGTGGCTCCCCGCCGCCCCAGCATCGCTGGTCCCAGAGGCCCCTCACCCTCGATGGCGAAGGGCTTGCCCACGGTGAGCAGTCTGCAGTCGGCGTCGATGGAGACCTCGTAGTCCAGGAGCGACTTGTCCATGATGAAGGCGTTGAGCTTCGGGGGGTCGCTCCTGCAGGGGTCAGGGGAGGGGTGAGCGGCCGCCCCGGCTGTTGCCCCACCGCCCCGCCCCCCGCCTCACGTGAGCATGGCGACGCCGCGGGGCGTGGTGGGCGCGCTGTGGCGCCGCATGTGCGCGTGCATCTCGGGGAAGCTCTTCTTGATGTAGGCCTCGGCGCTGCTCTCCCGCACGGTGCCGAAGCGGAAGCCCTGGGACGGGTGGTGCAGCTGCGGGCCCGCGACCCGCCAGCGGTCAGCGCCCACCCCCGCTCTGCCGCGGCCCCACCCAGCGCCCGCCGTCCGCAGGGGCCCTACGGGCCGGTTGCCAAGCCAGCATCTCTAGCCCCCCAGCCCTCGCTATGCCAGGAGCACCCTCAGTGTGACAGCCAGTGGGCTCCGCTCACCCCCGAACACCCAGGACTGGCCCGCTGCCGACCCCCGCACCGCTGCCGACCCTTGCACCGCCTACACCCAGGCCTCCCACGCTTGCCGCGGTCACTCGGAGGCGGGCACAGCCCCCTCCCCCTGCTTTCCGGTGTCCACGCTCCCTAGCGTGGCTGCTCTCAAGGGACCAGAGCACCACCAAAGCCACTTGTGAGAGCCGCGCCGCAGAGAATTTCTCACGATGAGAGTGCTCGGTGCTTGTGCTGTTGAGCACCTGCATTGCACTGAATTTCAGAACTAGCCACGCCGGGCAAGTGGCGATCGCATGGGACAGCACTAGTTTATAGACACCGTGGTGGTGGGGGGCGGGGGCGGCAGAACAGGCTAAACGTCCCTCAGGGGATGCAGTCAGCCGGATCCAAACGGGGTAGGGGGAGACGCTATGGAGGAGAAGAAATTTCCTCTGGGAGGAAAGGGACGGGGAGAGAAGCCAGAGCTGAGGCTCCTGCCATCGGCAGTGTCTGCGTGTTTAAGGTCCAGATTCAAACCGTGGGGGGCACCTGATGTTTGTCAAAATTGTGGCGTATTTACGGTGAAGTGACACGGGGTCTGGCTTGCCTCACGGTAACCCTGCAGCGGGAGCAGTGGGAGCTGTGAGTGGCCGGGACTTGATTTCCGGCTGGCCAGTGGCCTTCTCTCTGCTCTCTACTCAGGGATATTCAGAATTTCTTCATCAAAGAAGAATATGCAGTCTGAGGTGTGCCCCTGTGCCGGCCGCAGCCCTCCAGGGCTCCCAGGGCAGGTTCTGTCATGGGGGACCGCTCCAGAGGCCCTGCACGACCTGGCCCCGGCCCCTTCCTTCCCTCCCCGCCTCTCTCACTCTGCTCTGGCCACTCAGGCCTTGCTGTCGCTCCAGCACATCAGGCACGGTCCTGCCCCAGGGCCTTTGAACAGGCTGTGCCTGCTCCTCTCTGTCTACGTAAAAGTCCCTCAGCGTCGCCCCCTCCCAGAGACATTCCTGACCCTACTGAGGAAAGGTCCCTTCCAAAACTGCTGTGTCCCGACTTGGTCACACTTTTGTTCCTCTACATTACCATCTCACACACCGTGATTCTTGTCATGTCCCCCTGCCCCCCACCCCGTTTTGTCCCAGCTGGGTCCCCAGTGCCCGGCACACCCTAGGTGTTCAGTCAATGTTTGTGGATGTGGACGGTCAGCGGGTGACCTCCCAGCTCCAGCCCCCGGCCCCCTGTGGCTGCCCACCTTAGGGTCGTGGATCCCCGACAGCTCCTCGAAAGTCTTGTCCCCGACCATGACGGCGGCCAGGTTGGCCGTGTAGCTGGACAGCACGAGCAGGCAGAAGATGGCCCACAGGTTCATGAGCAGACGGCCCGTGGGGCACTTGGGTGTCTTGCTGGACACCGTGCGCCCGAACAGGATGGCATAGCAGAGGGTGAGGGCCGAGGAGTAGGAGAAGACGGTGTCGCGGTTGCGGCCGCGGGGCGTCAGGCCGTAGGGGCTGCGCCACTCGTACAGCGTGAGGAAGAGCGCCGTGAGGTGCAGGGCCGCGAAGACGCCCAGCCACATGGACCAGTGCAGCGGCCACGTGAAGGCGCCGAGGGGCGAGGCCGTGTCCCGCGCCCGCACCATGATGCCCAGGCTGGTGGAGAAGAAGGGGCTGCTGAAGTCCACCACCTGCGAGCGGGCCGAGTTGATGCTGAAGCTGGTGACCGCCATGTGGGCCCGGCCGGCCAGCAGGTCGCCCACCAGGCCGGTCCAGCGGCCGTCCCGCAGGGCGCCGTACTTGCCGTCGCCCACGATGTAGAGCTCGAAGTCGAAGGCCATGTCCTCC